TAATGCAACTAACTATGAACACAAGAATGTGCCTTAGTGTACTTTAATCATGGTTAAATCTTAACCTAATTTTTGACCCCCCTCCCAGGTATCTATAGATCTTAAACAATTTTTTCATTTATGGGAGACATTAGTGTTGCAAAAATGGTTGCACAACAATCGGGCGTTAACATTAAATGGTGATGCCAATATTTTGATCATCTAATAGTCGTGTAAGAGGTGCCTAATGGTTGTGAAATACAGGTAATAGAACTAATTGCATTTGCAGATATGTTATTTCCCTGTAATTTTGGGGTAAACTGTTTGAATTACTAACAACTTAAGAGTCGTATGTAGTACTCAGAAAAATGTTACTAACGCCTTTCTCCATCAACGACGTCTTTTCCTCCTGAATCGACGAAGTAATGAGGCCTGAGCGGCAGCGCCCCTTCTAGCTCCGCCCGCTAGGGCGCAGCACGCTCCGAGTCCACTATGAGAAATCGTGCGCTCAACATACTGGTTTGGGGTTAGATTTTGCAATTATATCAAGTAGTATTATCACTTCTAAAAGGATCTTATTTAAGTCATTGTCGGTATGAAACGTGTACGGTTCATCAGGTAGGCGCACCTGACCGGTTTATTTCTCATAGTGGACTCAGAGCGTGCTGCGTCCTAGTGGCCGGAGCTAGAAGGAGCGCTGCCACTCAGGCCTCATTGTATTTTGTCCGGATGTAGGGAACATTGTTCGACTTTAGGACGCTTTGGCTCCTTTGCGAACACGATTTAAACAGCCCCTAGGCGTATATCACTAGCGCGAAAAAAAATAAAAAAATTGAGGGTTGCAGTCGGGTCCCCGTCGATTTGACGTGGTCCCACATTAACAGAAGAAAGAGGAAGAGGAGTTTCTCTTCTAAAATCGTCCGGATTTAGGGACCTTGATTGTACCCTGGGTAAAAAAACCATGGGGCTGTCCATGAGCCATGGACATAAATTTAACCATGGATTTTTCTGACCATAGATTTATGGAACCAGTAA